CATGCTTTCATGATGGGTGGCAACCCATGCGGTCTTCTGCTGCTGACGCTCTTCTGCATACCTTGACTTAAAGAGTGGTTATTTGAGTTACTGTTGCCTTCCCATCAGCTCGAAGCAGTCTGGCCATTTATTTTTTGAGCTCTGACATCACCAAGGTATTTTCTCCCACATGTCTGTCACCACATTTTCTCCTTTTTGGAACATTCTCTGTAAACCCTGGAGATGGTTGTGTGGGGAAATCCAAGGATGGCCTGAGTGTGTACGGTTTTTAAAAGATGGCCATAGTTTAGTTTTCAGGACGGGAAAATAAAGTGCAAGTACTATAAATCTACTCGCTTTCTAATGATGAGTAGATGGCGACTCTTCTGGATGCCAAAAAGATTGGATTGTATGCAAGTCTACTAGAAAATGACCCTCATCTCCATTTCTCTGTGACCTCAATAATCATTTTCCTGATGAGTTTATGGCTTTGAAGTCAAACGGAATAAAAAATTAAATTAATTTTGTGATTCATTTTCATTATTAGAGACAGAAAGGTCGCGCGGACAACTCATTTTTTGATAACACCCTCTGGTCACAAACACATCGAGAGCACAAGAGCGCTGCTGGTGCTAAGGTTAAGGTTTTTATCCTGTGACACATTTAAAGTCACGCTTACTAAAAAGGGAAAATATGATTTAGTTTTTACTGTTTTATTAGATTAAATTTGACGATGATGTCGATGGATGCTGGTGGCCCATATTTCAGTGCACAATAAAAACAAACTCCACCTACAGCAAGAAAAGATGGAGAATCCAAACATGTTGCTGTCGGCGATGTAACAAAAATCAAATGTTGGAAGAAATAACCGAACTAGTAACTTTAACATCAGGATTGATTTCTAAATCTCCAAATCAGCATCTGATGCACAAAACACAATCTTAAGCACATAAAGAAGAAACAATTACATTCTAATAAACATATACTAACAAAGAGTCTTTATTATGATGTATGCTGCCTTTTGTCTCATTACTAGAAAGAATAATGGCTCTGAGCCGCAAAGGCTTTCTAATTTCCTCTATTTATTCTCAGCAGCAGTTGAAAGTAGCATGATTATGAGTGAGGAAATCACTGACATCAGGGGATCTGGGAGCTGACTTGTTGTTTCGTACATGACAAATGCACCCTTAATTTAGCTAAACCCTTTGAGAAAGCCCATCTCACGTCTGCAAATTGTTGACGATAGCAAAGCTCCAAAGCAAACAGCGCGTTAAACGAGCGGATCTCAAGAACTAATTCATCCAAAGCCTGCTGACAAACCATCTGCAAACCTGATCCCTACGTGAGCTCGCTCTGACCCAGCATGGCTGCCCTCGCCCTGCAGCTGCATGTCATTGTGTGTTTAGTTCACATAGCGTGTTATAGCTCGGACGCCGCCGTGGCCCCGAGGGTCACTCGAGCAAATAATGAGCCTTCATGCACAGACGCGGCTTGTCGTTGGTCAGTCCTGCTGGACGATGCACAGAGAACACATTTCTGCTGATTTTGGTGAAGCGAGCCGAGGTGCAGCTCCTTTTATGGGCAGGATACGTCCACATTTTATCACTTAAGCAACAGCCTGTACTAATACAAAGGTACATTCATGGTAGCAGTAATATAGAGGTACTCATAAATGGGATAATGGCCACTAAATGTCCTTCCTATATCTGCTTAATATGACTGGGTACAGCAGTTTACTTCTGGGAGAGACCTGCTTCTTTCTAAAATGAGAAGGACATGCTCCATTATATAACCTTCCACATGCTTTGTATTGATTCTACGAATCGGAGGAGAAAGAAAAGCATTCCTCAAAGGATATTCTTCAAGTTGGTGAAACGTGCTAGTTCAAAATGTTCAACAGATGTTCATCTGGGTTGAAATCTGGTGACTTTTATCCTAATCAAGCGTGTCCCTCTGTTCCCAACGACTTTGTAATCCCAGAAGAGACTGCTCTCATCAGATCAGAAATATTTGGTCACTGGACAGAAGTAGAACAACTTTGGATTGATTTGCAGTGACCCTTCAACCTCAAAGGACAAGCGGACCAAGATCATGGCAGCAAAATGCCACAGTTTTTAAGTTTTGTGATTTCTTTTGGGTTTTGTAAAGTCATTTATATCACACCGCTTGTGCATGCTCTTCGGTTCATGTTCTGTTTTATTTTATATTGCTCTGTGCTTTTTGTCATTTGTGCCTTTAGTTATTGGCTTTACATGGTTAAAGGTTTGTGAATTCCCATTCTGCTCCTCCAGTCTCGTCCTTGTAGGTGTTTCCATGTGACGTTTGGATATTTGAGTCTTTATCTTGGCGTAAGTTGTTTCCTGCTTTATTTTGTCTCATGTGCATCGTACTTCCCTCGTCTCCTTATCCCTGATTTGCTACCTCTGTGTCTTAATCAGACATTATTGTATTTTTTATTAATGGTTATTGTCTTTAATAGCTCCTTGTTACTCATGAAACGATAACCCTTCAGATGTTTTTCTAGAAGATGCTCTTATTTCTTGTATGTGTTTACACACCAGGCGGTTGTATTCAATTATTTAGTCACCTTATCTGTGGAGGATGTATAACTCACCGAGCTGATTTCATGCTTGTAGAGTCAGCTGTGATTTATAGTCAGCCTTTGTTTGCATGCTGTAGATCAACCGGTGGAAAACAACAGCAGCTGTGGGACGACCAAAAAGAAAGCAGAAGCAGAAGTGATGGAGCCTCCGCGGAGAGATAAACTGATGCGGAGGCTGAGCCCGTCTCACAGGTCACCTCCACCAGGATGCTGCCTCAGCTTCCCGCACTGTCACTCTGTGCAGCTTTCAGACAGTAAGACTCTCAAAGGCTGAAACATGAGACAAACACGACCACCTTATCACCGCTCAGGCACACACTCATGACTTCACGCTCTCCTTTTGGCTGGAATTCATTAGCGTGTTTTCATACTACATTATTTTTCATGCTTGCATATGTGCATATGAGGCGAAATGAAATAAAATAATTGGTGTGTTTGCCATAAGTGCAGCAGTAATCAGTAGTTGCCCCTGCCATGACTGATGTTACATTTCTGTGTTATTTGTTCAAGTCATACCAAAGCACTGAGTCTATCTGGCACCGATTCTCTGTTATTTATTTAAGAACGACCTCTGTGTGACATTTTGCAGTAAAGCAAACAAGCACATCATGATAACATCATTATTTAATCTGATTACACGGTTAGATTTAAACACATCGGTGTGGACAACACAACCAGGCCTGAGTATATCATTAATAATAAGACAGGACTTTATAACAGTGGAAGGCATGTGAGCCAAATTTGGCCCTCTGGAAAAACTATTTCGCTCTGAATTTGAACTTCATTATATTTGCCTTTCGTCCCAAATCTATGGTAGTTTAGAAATGTAAACACGACCCTGACTTAATGTCCCTAAATATGAATTTACAACTCGCTGCTCTTGGTTTTATAAATCACATGTTTTACAGCCCTCTCAAACATGCCGGCATCCATGGAAAACTGGGTCCCCCATCCAGCCACACTGACCTGGAATCATAAAGCAGTTTCTGACCGTGCTGTAAAAAATGTGGGAATATTAAAATGCTCTTCATCTAGTTTCCTTTAAAGAAGATCTTTTCCTTTCCTTTCTTTTCCTTTAAAAAAAAGCTTGGTTGGGTTATGATAAGTGTATTTGGGGGTTCAAAACACAAACACTAAAAACACTTAACGCTGTGTTATTAACTCAGTAGAAACCTCCCAAATGCACCCATTTAAAAAACATTTTTAACCTTTTATGCAGAAAAATGATCTTATAGGGGACCTGCCTCACTTTTCTGTGCTGTTAAGTGATGGATATTAAAAATGAACTAACAATATCAAGCAGTTTTTTCTTTTTTAGATTACTTTATGCTTTTTATTTGACATTCACACGCTGATGGATGCATCGAAGAGCATCTTGGGGTTCGTGTCTTGGCCGAGGATATTGGGCGTTCAGACGTAGATGACCTGCTTTCCTTTATGAGCCACAGGAAGTAGAACAGGTTGGTTTGAGATCAGCAACAACAGACAGATTTTGATTTCACTTTGACTAAACTGCATATTCGACACAGAGGGAAAGTAAACGAATCCATAATCTGTGTGTAAATATCAAACTGTAATAGTAACTGCCTCTTATCAGCTTTGCTACAGTGCATACATGTAAAGTAAATTATAAAGTCACCGCCCTGTGTGAATAACAGAGCAGTCAAAGGTAGCTTCAATTAGTGTATCTTAATAATTTATTACACAACATAAATATACATTACTAATCATTAGTACACATAATTATAATTTTATTGATTTTTAACAGTAAAAAAAAACTAATTAATTATGCATGAGAATTAAAGCAGCTGCTGCACTTTAATGTTAAGGAATCAATAATGACAGTTCATAGTTTTGTCCTTGTTAGTTTGAAAAGGGGACACAGGACTCAGACAATACCAGTAACCAAAATAAAGCAGAGCAGTGTTTGTGATCCAAACCACAAAGAGAAACTGACATAAGATATGACAACACAAAGGAAGAATGTTCATCAAATACACAAAACAGAAAGCCGACACCATCACAGTCTGTTGATACGGGATTAAAACCTTTGCATCTTTCCCTCTTACCTTTTTTCACTATTTTTTTCACCCTGACAGCTTTATTTCTACTTCTCTTTCTTTTTTCTTCCCTTTTTAATTTCACATGGCCATAATTAACTTTAAATGAATATAGATGCATATGATTACCTGACTTTTCGACAGTTAGTATTTATGTTCTTCCTGTTCTTATGATGAGGTCCTGTTGAATTTCTGCTGTGTGAGAATTTCACACTGCATAAGCATCTGTATCCTTTTAGGTTTGGCTTTATTTGTAGTGTTATTTATAACTGGCAGGGATCCTCACCAGGCTGACCTCAGGTCTGAAGCGTTTGGAGCAGATAGTGTCTCAGCAAATCAGAGGTCTCTTCCCCCCTCACCTGAACCCCACCAGTTTGTTTACAGAGCAAATTGGTCCACGGAGGATGCCATCACCATCACCATCACCCTTCATAGAGCACTGAGCCATCTGGAGAACAGGAAGCACTACATGAGGATGCTCTTCGTGGACTATAGCTCAGCATTCAGCATCACAATACCAAACATCCTCACCACCAAACTAGAACACCTTCAGGGCACCCACATCTCTGCTGATGTCACCTGGACCCATGACACCAATCTGAGCCATGGTCTGAGTGGCCCTCATCACTCTGTCCACTCACATATGGTCTCTGTACTCAGACCAAGTTCTTTTGCACTTCCAAGGAGTTTGTCCTCCAATGTGTGCCTCTGGTTTCTTCAGTTTGTTATTTATTCCTGCACAGTTGTTGTGGAGCACCCATGATGTCATGTACAACGACAATTAAGGCCTATTCTATTCTATGCAGACTCAAAGTCTCCAGCTGATCTGCAGCTACATGATCTGCTACAGTGATAAAGTGCTGCACTCCTTTCCATCCCTGGTGTTTCCATGGAGTGATCCCGCACAGCAGTCCTGAATGTTGGCTGCAGTCAGTCTGCTCTCTAGTGGACGCAGCATGTAACTACAGTAAGTGTTACCGTCTTATACAGTAACACTTATACGTCTTTACTATGATTGACAATTAATAATATTTGTAGTTTGTACGTTGTGTGTTAAACAGAGATCCCATTTCACCCAATTAACTTGCTGTGATTCTTTAATAATTATAATTATAATTAATTATATATAATAATTAGGAGATTATTAGGGTATCAATACTGAGCATTTGCTAATTTTTCTAGTTAACAAGTTTTTTTTTCTTGTAGATGGTTAGAGCAGTGAGTGTGAATTTAAACAGCTTTGTTGGAAGATAAATCGAGGTTATGCAACCAAGTAAGCACAAATGAGGAGGAAATCTTTTCAGGGATTTCAACTCAAAAATGCTGCAAAGGTGAGCAGAGCAACAATGCATGGAAATATACATCTGTGGTGTTTTGAGTACATTGAGTGCAAATGTCAGAATCAGAGAAACCCATATTATTCAACCCGTGTTATGTGATTAAAATTTTGAGTGAATTTCCATGTCCAAAAATCAGGCTCCAAAGACAGTTGAAAGGTCCTTTGGGAGATGGATAATGATTCTGTGACTGAAATTACTCTGTACAGTTTTGAGAGAGTTTTGTTTGCTTGTTAAAGATTTGAGATCTCTTTTACAAATGTAGATGTTTGTAGAGGGTGAAGGGTTGTGAAGTGTAGGAAACCTTTGATTGTTGCCCAATCCAAATCTTTGAATGAGATTAGAGGCTGTCATGAGCTTATCATCTGGAAATTGAAGCAAGACTACAGGTTTCCAATCTCAAGGGTTTTCCACCAAGCTGTCAAGGTGGAGATCACCGGGTTCTTGAAACACTTTAATGGAGTTTAATAGAAGAAGGATAAAGGATAGGTCTGGAAGTTTGACGCTGTTACAATCTATCCAAGAGTTGGGGGCTTTACTGAGATGAGTCCATCTCATGGTCTGGTTAGCTAGTATTATTAAAAATGAAGTGCCTGCAGACCCATTTTCTCTCTTGTACATGAGACATTGGGTTGCAATGGGACTACCTGTATAAATAACTGGAGTGACGTTTAGGTGAACTAAATCTGACAGTCTGGACGAGACATTTATAGCTCGGTACCTGATCTTGCCTGCTGGGAATGAGCAGTGTGGCTGTTGCTGTGCAGGATTCCAGGATTTCTCTGTTATTGGAAGAATTATTGATTTAAACCAGTTTATAGAAAGTCTGATATTTTTGTTGTTATGTAGTTTGTGGGTTCTTTTAGATACAGTAATATATTATCAGTGTCATGGTCCCTGTGTCTCACTCTCCTCTGGCTCCACCCACACACCTGTGATCGTTTCCTCACCTGCCGCTCACTAACCTGACTCTCATGGCCACTACTTAAGGCAGTGGCTCACTGCTTCTCATCGCTGGATCATTGTGCAACCTGCGTTAGTGTAGCTCTGGCTTAATTCAACTCTCTCATCTCTTGTGCTTTTCTAGCGCTGATCTAATCGTCTGTTTCTTGTATATAGATTACCCTGGACCTGTCCTTGTTTCCCTTCCTGGATTCCTGAGCGTGAGTGTTTTGGCAGAGTGGCGTGGAGCGAGAAGGAGCATGGCGTGTGTGATCGCAGTCGAGCGTGCATTACCCTTCCCTCCTTCCCGTGGACCCTTGGTGCCCTCTACCCTGCACACTGTATCTAACGCCTGGTGTTCTCTAAATAAACCCTTTGACTTTTATTCCAAGTTCTTTGAATCTGCACTTGAGTCTGTTTGGCCCACATGACGATCAGTGTAGAAATTAATTTTGTGTTGTAAACTAAATAGCTTTTGATGCTGAAATTTTCATGTACTAAAATGGCAAGCAGTTCTATGTGGTGACTGTATGTTTGCAGTTAAATATCCAAGTAGGAAGGACCACCAGAGTTTGTCAAAGCCTTTTTCTGCATTAATATTGCTGTTGCTTTGGCTGATGAGGTTGAACGGTCCTCTAACATTGTTTTTTGCTTCCCTCTTTGTATCTGTTTAGTCTGATTCTCTCTTTATGAAATGGTGTTGTATTTGTTTACGAAAGCATTACTTATGGAAAGAAATGTTGCTGAATTAAAAGAAAGCTGTGAGCATCACAGGAGGAAATTTTATCTTTATCACTTTATTATGTTATGACATGAATCAGAGATACCTGGAAGCCTGGAGGCAGACGACCAGGCCGACTGGTTGTAAATCTTCTAAAGGATGGAAATGTTTGCTCCCATGAATGTGACTGGATATAATTTAAGTAAATAATGTTACAGGAAGGCGAGGCCACTAAAAGGCTACTATCACTGACTGACCTGCTGGCAAACATCCAGACACAGAGACCTCGTTTCTATCCAGAGTCAGACCGTGATAAGAACAGTCACATGATCACATCATTTAGAATCGACTGCACTAAACACGATAAACATAAACAGCCAAGACATCGGCTGTGGACTCTGAGTTTTAGTTTGCTTTTATACATATTTAAAAGGAGATTATGAGGAGATTAATTAGAGACGGTTATCGATGGTTTAACTTACTCACGGTCCTGATGAAGCGTGCCGTAGCCTGGAGCTGTGAATAAATTGCTTGTGTCTCTGTGTCACGCACATGTGGTGAACGGGGTGAACAGACTGACACACTTATCAGGATGTGGAGTTTGTAAATGCAGGCGGGAGGATATCCCTGATAAAACTGCTACGCTTTAAATATGTCAGTTCACCGGTCTTTATTTGACTTGATAAATAACTACACACTGTCAAGTTTCATTTTTCATTTAAAGCCTGAACCATGAAATAATTACAAAAAAAAGTAAAGTTTTTGAAAGTGGAGGATTTATTCTAAAAAATAAAAAAATGTAATATTAACCTGTAAATATGTCTTTTAATTTACATCATATTCGCTACTTCTGCCTTTTTTTTTTTATGTATTGCTTGAAAATGTGTTGTGCAATTTATTTTGGGGTCATTTTTGGGGGAAAAAAACTACACTGATAATGAAAAAGACTGAAAAACTCAACATCATAATGTCAGACATCCTCACCACCAAACCAGAACACCTTCGGGGCACTCCTACTGCTATCCTGTGTAAAATATTAATAATAGGACTCACCATCTTAAACCATCTCCGGGGGGTTAGATTGACTCTGGAGGTCAGGTTATGGGATACAGCTGTTCCAGAGCCTCCAGATGTTTTTTGGCCCATTGTTGCCCTGCTAATCTCCACCAAATGAGACTGTGTGTGTCTGCAGGGGGCTGCAAACACCCTCACTGCTCTTCCTCCACATGCAGATACCATCCAATCATGTTCTCCGAATCACCCCAAAAACACACAAAAATACAAAAATACCAGAACTTCACTGCTCTAAAGTCTATGTATTGTGTTTCTGTCCTTCTCCTCCCCCAGTGGTTTCTTTGCAGCCGTTCTGTCACAGAGGCCTGATTCAATCTCCTCGCAGCAGCTGATGTGTCTGCTGCTTGAACTACAGGAAGCATTGATGTGGTCTCTGATCTGTTAGCGGCGGCCCTGTGGGATTTTGTCATTTTCTGGGCTGATTGACTTTCATGTCTTAAATGAAGGATTTGAGTCGTTCTGGACATAATGGATTACTACAGTAACTGAATAGGACTATTTAGTCCACCACTAAAGCTTGACAGCACCACTAACAGTCCCGTGAGTCCGCTCCAGAGGTCTCCCACGCCTCTGTTTGCATTTGGACTCCTAATAAGAGTTCTTAAGTGATTCAGTTTCACTCGGGGCCAGGCATATGTAATTTATTATCATGCTTTAATTTAGTCTAAATGAATGTAATGCGTCCTATGCAGCCTTCTCACATATAGGTTGTTTGTAATAAGCCCTGAAACAATCGTCAGTAAGTAAAAGCAAAATAATGTGCTCTAATTCTGCTTCTTCAAGTAGACTTGCATTCACAGCAGCTTCACAAGCCCTGAATCTGACATCTAAATCAATAATTTTGTTCTTGCAGCTCCTTCTTAGCCTGTTTCCCAGATCCCAAGTTACCTGCTGCCATAAAACTGGCTGCACATATAAATGAAACTTGCCTTCACAGCTCCATCACTTAGTAACATACTGTGCTGTTTTCTGATGCCTCTTTTTCCCCCAGTCTGTGGCTCCATGTCTCTGATTGTGTGTTGTATGTTCTTTGAAAGCAGAACTTCTTAACAAATAAAAATTTAACCATTAGAAAAAAAATATTGACAGCTCTCTCACAGACTTCGATATTTTCTTCTTCTAACCATCAACATATCTACACACCATTCCAACAAGACAAACACCCACATCATTACTTATTCCTTCAATTTTAAATGTGATCATTTTTTCTTTATTAACATGCTGAACATTTGATCTTCGAAGCTGAGCATAAGGATTTGGGTGATTTTGACCAGAGCCCAACGGTAATGGATCGATAGAGCATCTCCAAAAACGCAGCTGTGGTGGGGTGTTCCTGGTTTGCAATCATCAGGATCTATAAAAAAACAGTGGTGATGCAGCAACAGGGTCATGAGCAGCCAAGACTCACAGATGCACGTGGGGAGCTGCTGCAGCTCAAACTGCAGAACATTCATGCTGGTTCTGATAGAAAGGTCTCAGACAACACAGAGCATTGAAGTTTGTTATGTATGGGACTGCACAGCCGTAGACCAG